AGAAAAAGAAAAAAAATGTATATATAATAACGAGATTGTAATAAAAAAAAAAAAAAAGAAAAGAAAATTACAGTTATCCAGAGAAAAAAGAATTCTAATAGAAATAAAAATAAAATAAATTACATGGATCTTTTTTCTCGGAATAATAATCTATGTGGTAAAACTTCTCTTTTCCCACTTAAATGCTGCGACGATTCCAAATTTATTACACCGATCGAAACAGGTTATTTGTATCGTGCTCCATTTATGGCGATGTTAACTCCAACATCAATCGACCTTTGATACTTTCGTGACCCAATTTTTCTTCCATTATTATTATTATTACTATTATTATTGTTGTTATTATGACCGCCTTTTTGTTTGTCACCACCGCTGCCCTCCGACTGGAATGATGGTTGCTGTTGCGACAACGACATGTGCTGTGGTATTTGATTTTGTTGCAGGGGATTGTCTTCGTCTTTTTTGACATTAATATTCGGAACGCGCTTCTTATTACGAGACTTACGATTTTGTTGATTATTGCATCGTTGACCATTCGATTCGCTGCTAGCATTGATGCTCATACTCCTGGGTGCACTGGAGTTATTTGGTTTAACAACCTTTAGCGCGCTTCCATCGGGATTCTTTGGCGCGTTGGCATTATTTCCGCCCACATTCTTGAATGCGTTGAATTTACTGTTGTTTGCATTCCTGGCAATTAAGTTATAGTTTTGATCATTCGTGTGAATTGAAAAGTTGGTACTTTCACCTATGGTACGATTGACACCATTATAGACAGGTCTTCCGACGTTATGACCGTTGTTGGTACTACCGGAGGTATTCGTAGCCTTGGCTGCCACGTTGGCGTAGTTGATATTGTTAGCATTGTTTCCCTTCGATTTTAGAATGTCCGAGTAATGGGAGTTACCGGAATGGTTGAATTCGGATACTCGAATAGAGTGGTTTTCGTCGTTGGGATGACCTTCACTCGTTGGAACCTTGGGTCCCTGTGCAAGACTGTCGATATCTTGGTAGTTAACGTTCGTCAGATTTAAGTTATTAGGAAACCAATTACTTTGACGAACAATGTTCATGGGCTTCTGTCCAGTTGAATAATGACCACCATTCGAATTATTATTATTCCTTGGACCACCAATGTGATCATTATTTTGGTACCCATTTTTCGCTGACTTCGACCCATAAGGGTAACCATCATGGGCTGAGCTGTTGTTGGCAATCGTTACGTTGGAATAATTTCCATGGGCCGCGTTATTGCCGTATATCGCCTTTTTACTATTCGAACGATTGTCATTGTTGTTATGCGTCCCCGTTTGAGTTTTCGAGCCGTTAACACAATGCCCATTATTATCATTGCTATTTGAATTTACACCGTTCGACGACGACCTTTGGTTGTTAGGGAGATTCCGACTGGCGACCAAATTATACGTCGAATTACCGCTGGCGAGACCGTTGTTAATCTCGCCTTTCGTCGAATGTTGCTGGGGAGATGCGTAATGCGACATTACATTCCCGCTTGACGTGGTGGGGGTCACATAGTTGTTGTTTCCCATCGTCATTGAAGAGGAAAATGTCATATTGGATTTTGACTGGTTATTCAGAGAACCACGACTAGAGTAATTGTTATTATCCATATTTCCGGAATTGTTCACGCTATTGTTATGATGGCGCTTCTTCCTTCCACCACCACTGGTATTATTATTTTGGTCTTGGCTCAAATGATAATTACCCTGGGACTTATTTGAAGTGTTACACGGTTGACAACTGTTGTTACTATAGCTAGTATTACTACTATTGAAGCTCGCGTGACTATTCGAACCGTCCGACGAAGATTGATGCGACAGTCGTCGTTGGAAGGTGGTGGTAGTATTATCGCTGAGCGCGTGATTCTGGGAAGAAAATATTGACATTGTACCCGAGGACAAAAATCGGTCGGCATCGGTGGAACACAATAAATTCGGATCGAATATTATCGGAACGGAGTTATCACAGTTATTATTATTTCTATTATTATTACTAATATTGTTGTTGGTGGACGTGAGGTATGAATGAATGACCGAGGTACCATTCTCAGAAGCTTTAACTCCGTTATGACCGGGGTAAGTCTTATTATAATTGTTCTCGTTAATGGATTTCGATTGCATGGGTTTGTGGTAATTTTGGTCGGATTTCGTATTCGAGGCCTGATTTGATTGATTACCGGATAAAGAACTGCCTACTGACTCTTTGTGAGAAGTGGGAGGTGTCACAATTGAATTTGAAGCGTGGGCAAAATTGTGTCTGGGCTCACGAACGAACCTTTGATCTGAATTACGATTCGGTCGATTTGATCCGTTCGTGGATTTGTAATTGGATGAAAAGCCGTATTGTTGCTTGTTCGATTGACCAATATACTTTTGATTTTGTGCACAAGTCGTCTTCTGATTTGAGTGGGTCATTATCCTATTATTATTCGTCGCGGTATGGCGGGCAATTTGAGTTTGATCAACGGACTTTTGATTTGTATTGTTGTTCGAGGTAACTTCACTAAATTCAGCGGGGTGATTTGAACTTTGCGCGTTGGTGGACTTCATATCATTGCCAATGCCTTGTTTCGAATCGGGAGAACCAGATATACGGTTCGACGCATCTTGAAAACTAGAATTTCTCTGGTGAAAATTGTTATTTTCAGGACGTGCGTGGTTAAATTGTTCGCTCCTTTGGTAAGAGGATGCGCTAGAAACAACTTGTCCAGTTTTATCGGTATCCGCGTCATCGTGATATTCATTCGCATCATCATCACCATTCTGTTGTCTGTGAGAACCATTATAATGAAATCCTTGATTGTACTTGAAGTAATTTGACCTCTTGGCGCCTTGCCTGTACTGATACGTCCCATTCGTCCTAGGTCCTCTACCATTATTATTATTATTATTAGTATTATTATTATTATTATTATTACCATTGTTACCGTAGTTGTTATTGTAATTGTTATTGACATAGCTTGCATTATTATTGTTGTAATTATAATAGTGATAATAATTGTTATTATTGTTGTAATTGTAATAGTAACTACTTGGGAACACGTATTGCTGGCAACATAACTCCAGGCTAACGTCCTCGTAAAGTATCTTAGAGGCCCTACGAAATTCTTCTCTTAATCCCTGAACACTGATGTCGTCAGCGCTATTACCAAGGTTTCTCGACGTGTTGAAGGGCTCCTCGACGCATAGAAGTCGCCAACCTTTGCCGGTTTCACCCCAACCTTTTTCCTCCTTGGTGAGATATTTTCCTTGGCGAAGTGATATAACGTTATGTTCATAATCGAATTCATAAGCAAAGCTGAATGCACGATTTATTAAGGCGGTCAGATTAACTCATTCTATTGGCACGTGAGTGCGTGTAGCAAAAGGGAATGTGTTTTGAACTCACCGTCTAAAGAAAGCAAATAATAACCCACCCACGGTCTCTTTATTTTTCTCGCCGAACCCTCGGAGAGATTCTACATCTTCATAAAATGATACGTCGATGCCATTCACCACTATAGGCTCTCCCTTGTGAGGTATCTGGTGAAGCACCGGCAGTATCGGCGGTTCACGCATTTGAAGGAAATTCAAAATCATGCAAGTCCAGGTGTACGTAGATAGAGTACCACCCTTGGCTTTACGAGATAGTGATTTTTTTTTTTTTTTAAAAAAAAATAGAGATTAATATTCCGAGATCACGTGCCGACGGATTCCATGTCACGTTATAAAGAACTGAGCTTTACCTGCATCATTTAGAACTCTCCGCTTCGCCCAATACTTTATCACCATCGCTAACGGTCGAACCCTCGGATCGATTTCAACGTATGTCTTTATCAGGCGGGTATTATACAAGGCCAAGGTATTATTGACATTTATATCGCAGTATAAATTTCTAGCAAATTTACAAAAGGTAAAAAAGAAAGTTAGAATGAAAGCAAAATATGCGTAAGAGAAAATACAAAAAAAAAAAAAAGATGAAAAGGAAAGAAGACGCATAATCAGTACAATCAAGAGATGTAAAGCATAAAACCATATTTACAGATCAGGATCCCAAAGCCTAACAATAGGTACTTTCGCTTTAGGAACACAGTAGATCTTTTGCATTCCATCTAGTTAACAAGAAATGACACATTAAGATACAAATGACAGCACGCATGTACACATAGATCCAATTAGTCCTCGACTGGAATCGATTTTTGTTGCCAAACTTACGTTTACGCATCCCCTTGGCTAAAGTAAACACGTTTTTTAATCCACTCCAGGGCGTCGTAACGCATAGATCCACATCTGAATTGGATGTCCCTAGAAGGTTCACCGAGGACCTAAAATACATGTATGCTATTAAATTATCGCAGGGAAAAACTCCAACCTTAATTCGTTTTTAAATTAGCGGAGAACAATTTCAAATTTAAACTTACCCGAACAAATGAATTTCTATGTTATGCCCAGGCCATTCCTCGTTCAATATTCTCTCGATTTTAACGACAAACTGCTTTCTTCGATCAAAACTTTCCTTTGTGGGGAGTAGCGTCTACATGAGAATAAGATCGATTAGAGAGAAATTCACGAGCTCCCATGGCGACGTGAGAATTGATCAATTTGATTCAAACCTCAAACAGAGCGAGCATATCTACAGAAAGACTGTCTTCAGAGCGGGGAGGAAGTGTTATCGGAGGATTGTTTTGGTCGCATTGCAAAGTCGCAGCAAGACTTATTTGTGGCATTACTGATGCATTAGAATTTAATTCATCTTTCAAGGAAGATTGATTTTGAGAGTTCTCTTTTTTTTGTTGAGATTCACCGTCCGCGATAGAGTAAGAGTCCTGCTCTTGCGACTGATAGTTATTTAGAAAACGGTGGTTGCGGTAGTGAGCATTATTGTTTGTGTTTATCGGACCGTTTCCCTGTTTGTATGAAGGGTTGTATGAGTAAGTCCCCGAAGAGGTCTTTTCCGAAGGTGAATACGTTAGTGTCAACGAATAGCCGCAGTGACCATAAGGTTCGTTGTTGCTTTTTTGACTTTGCGGCTGAACCATTTTTCTGGGAGGTTGATAGAATTATCCTTTTACTATATTATATATTATCTCTCTCTTTTTTTCTTTTTTTTTTACAAAGGTCAATACACGCCGCACTATAGAGGTTAGCCTTGGAAAAAGGTAAACAAGATTAAATTTCGTATGTCGGTGTTCTTATGATTTAAAATACGCACGCAGAAAATAAAGTTCGAGTTGTTGTTTGAGTAGGCGAATATGTTAGTAAATGAATGGTGTTTACAAGGAGTTTGAAGAAAGCTCGCACGTCGATAGGATAAGGTCAGAGGTGAGAGTTTTGGGAGAAGAGAAGGTGAAAAAAAAAAAGTGAAATTTTGTTTATATGTAGGTTTACTTGATATTGAAGATAACAATAATATGTATTCGAGTTGTCAAAAAGTTACAGTAGTGTGGATTAGTGGATATTTTCTAATTTTTTTTTTTGATATGATAGTGAACTTGATGAAGCAAGCATGCTTCCGAATGTGATGAGCTGCATTCATCGTAAACTAAATCTCCAAATATGACCGAGATCTCCGTCTCGTGTAACCAGTCAATGACTTGGATTCAAGTTATGTGATAATAGTTACTACCGATTCGTGTTGCTGTGCTAAAGCCTGCGTTCCCCAGCAAATGGGCTTTATATTTTGACCAGATTTATTAAATTTACCGTATCTGGAACTTGCTAGCAAGATCAGTTGTTGTTCTTTTTTGGCCGACGGAAAAAAAAAAAAGGGAATCACCCTCGGTCTTTCACTTACAACTTATTATATGAAGTGCACACGGATCGTACATCGCTTTACTAATAACGAGATTAGTTGTACAGATTAAATTGAGAGTTCTGATTTAATTAAGTATGAATGGTTACACCAGAATATGTAATTTATTATTATTATTTATATCAATTGTAATCAAAGTCCTGTAAAGAAATCATTTTCTGGAAGCAACAAGTGGTTCGTAGTTGGTTGCCTGTCTGACCGACCGGAACAAGCGGTTATACATTATTTGAGTAATTAGTGATACCATTTCTGATAGGACTTGAAAGGAACCAAACCCAAAGTGTACGAGGTGCACGATTTAAAATGTGTTTCGTAATTGCTCGGTCAAAGGTGCATCTTTGTGTGTCAAAAACCCTTGAGAAGCAAGGTTGATCACACAAACCCCAAATTAGAAGCGATATCTCATTAAATAAGCATCCCCGTTACCCGTACCGTTCACTTCCTACGGTTTATTACTTGACACACCCGCGGATCCTTTCATGCATTAAATGACGTCATATTGCTTTCCGTGACATATTTATTTACGTGAAAATCACGCTATTACTGGCGCGTTTATGATTCAATCGGTGAACGGTTTTTTTTGTTTTTTATTTTTAAACTAATAATAAATAAATTAGGTAAATACAAATACTGTATATTATTATTCATTTATTTATTATATATTATAGTATTTTTTATAAATAATAATATAATAATTTATTATTTTGATTTCTTTTTTTTTTTTTTAAACCCTCTGTTAGGCTAGATATATATGCTTTATTAAACATATGTATACTTTACATTAAAGATGTATTACTAAAGCTAAGTCTCTACCTAACTCACTTGTCTCTATTTTAAGAAATATTAAAACTCTAAGTGCAACTTTGGAAGTGATTTATCACTCTGTTAGCAGTTCAGATAAAGACCCTTCCTTTCAACTATTAACTTTATCACTACTGCAGTATTATTATTTTAATTTCATATTTTTTTATATTTAATAAAATACTATATAATTTAATAATATATTTATTTTTTATAATTTAAAATATCATTATAAAAATTTTTTTATATCTTTTATATATAGTTGCTTTCAAAAGTTGGAGTTCACTTATTATGTTTTTATAAATTTTAACTTTATTGATTTTATTATTATTAAAAATTTTTTTTCTTTATTAAATTTATATTTTTAAATAATTTTGATTGGTTATTATTATGAATAATACAATAATTAACAAAAAATAAAATGTTTTATTTAACAATTATAAAATTTTTGAAATTATTTATAAATTTTTTTTAAAAAAATATATAAGAAATAAAATAAATATTAAGATATAATATAAATAAATTTTATAATTATAGATAAACTTAAATTTTTAAAACAATTGGTTTTTTTTTTTAACTCACGACTATACCATAAGGTTTAATTTTTATTGAAAAGTTTAAATTATCTCTAATATTACAAATTTTTTCATATAATAATTAACTTGTTATTATATTAAAGTACTTTAAATCAAGTCTAGAAAACAATATTTTACTTTCTCAAAGAATTGATATATACCTCTATTTATTAGGTTTATTATTAACAATTTGTTATTGTAAATTACCTATGCAATATAATTACTAAATTAAAGAAAAAAGAAATAAAAGAATTAAGAAAAAGTGACAATTTATAATTTATTAAAATAATTAAAAAAAAATACAATTCTTCTTTCAAAAGATATTTGGTTAATTGGAATAATATATATGTTTCTTTTAAGTTTAAAAAAAAAAAATCTTTTTTATTATCATCTATAATATTGAATGAATCAATTCAACTAATTCTTTATTTAAACAAACTTTAGATTGAAATATCTCTAGGAAAACATTTTTTTTTTTTTTTTTTTTTTTAACGGGCTCATGTCTAATTTTATTGAATCCCAAATTACAAGTTTACATTACGCAAAGATATAGATGTATATTCGGGAAGGATAAAGATAACGATAAGCTAAAGTTATTCTAAAGCTACTTCGAGACTTATTGCCCTTCTTTTTATAAAGAAAATCAACATCTTTAGAGCATGCTAGTGTTATAAATGAAAAATAAAAGAAATAAAGAAAAAAATTGACAGTCATGTAAAATGTATCGGTTCTGTTTCTTGGTCCATGCCTATCTTATTCTAATTCCTCATGAGAAGGTCTAAGGAAAACTTCTACTGAGTCTTTACGAAGATAAAATGAAGACCACAGGGGAGATTATACAGTTTTAAGGCTTATGGGGAGGGAGTAGTCAGGAAGGCCCAGGTGGAATATTGGTGTCTGCATGATTGACTTGAAAGTCTCCCAGTATATTGTCAATTAAACCCATTCCTATCTAAATATGGGTATACTTACCCATTTGTGCATCTTATTTCAGATTTAATTCCTTATATAAAGGACAGCACCTAACCTTGCGGTCGACATACCCTGTTGATGACCGTTGGTACTAACGATCAACGAGGATCTTTCACATATTCCGGCCGGCTCGCACATCACTGCTAACATTTTTGAACTCAAGTTTCGATTGGTGTAGCGGTGTTAACCTTCCAGTCTTCCAGTTCAGGATTTTTTGAAGATAGGACGAAAACTTCCTGGGTTACTTTGTGCATGAGCTTTACTACTGAGTATCTTAAGTGATTTTCTATTTTCTTTGATTTAGACTTTCTGGGCAGTAAAGGTTGGAACCTACCTGACATACAATCAGGAATAGGTAGCTTTGATCTTTAAAATGAAGCAATCTAGCATCTTATAACCTTTACCATGGTTAGACAGACTCTTTTCTGTATTCAATGATGTGTCAGTGATATGTTCTGTATCCACCTACACCAGTCAAAATGACTAATAATGGACCCCAGGTTCTTATGGAGCTGAGAAAATGCATTCAGATATGTAAGATGGCCAATAGGAGCTTGTTTATCAATTTTGTCCAACATATTTTGCGTCAACCAATCAGAGTTGGTGAGATCCGTGCTACTTAAAATTTCAGGGTCAAGCTAGGGTAGGCAAAATTCCTCAGAAAGCCATGAAAAAGGTAGCTCTGAGAGGCCATAATACCATTCAAAGGATAGGAAAATAAGTTCTTTGACTGGTTTTTAATCTCTATTATCTTCACCATAATTAAGAGGAGGAAGTTACTTCACTATTGGTCCTTTTCCCTTTAGGAACTTTCTTGCTGTAGGTAGTAAAGATAGAAGCTGAACTTTGCAAGCCACAAGAGTTCAGTTTGTTCAAAGAAGATTATAGACAAAAGGGAGAGGAGATGAGGGAGTTCTGAGAGAACTCTTTGAAATGGTTTAAAGAAAATAGTAAGACTTTATTAGCATAGAAATATTAAACTTCTTGTGAACATCTTTTTGTGTGTGGTTAGAGGATCAGTGAAAAGAGTTTTTTGGACTATAGTAGGTTTTAATATTATTTAAAACTTGTTTCTTATAATTAAATTAAAATAACTATTAAATAGTTTATAGTTATTAATATTTAATTTATCTTTAATAATAATTCTTTAATAGTTACCAGATTGATTACTATTATACTTAATTAGCTTTTAAATATTTTTTCAATTAAATAAATTAAATAATTAGTTAAAATACTACAGTATATCTAGTTCTATAAGTATCTTTTAATATTATTTTATATTAAGAAGGAGAAGACTGAAAAATATTTACTTTTTATTTTATTTTTTTTATAAAGTTTTAGTTATTTTAATCTTTATAGTTGCTTGTATTTTTTTTTTTTCCTTAGTTAGGTTAGTTATGTATACTTTATTAAACATTTGTATTTTTTATATTATTAAATATTTTGCTAAAACTAAATCTTTACTTAACTTACTCATTTCTGGTTTAAATTTCTTAAAACTTTAAGTGTAACTTTGGAAATGAATTATTGCTCCATTAGTAGTTTAGATAAAAACCTTTCAATTACTAACTTTATTGCCTGAAGGTCATACTGCAGATTACTATTTAATATTCTAATCGGGCTTAGAATTCCAATCACTTTATTTTATACTTCACTTCTTTTATAAAAATCTTCTTGAGACTTCCATTTTCTAGTTTTTCTTCTTCTGGTAGTGATTTTATTTTTGTTAAGAATATAGTTTTCTGGTCTGAAAATATTGAAGGTCTTTTTATCTTGTTTTTTCTATTGATTCCCTGAGTTCATATTTTATATTCTTTTTATATTTTGTGTTTCAAATTCTTTTTTGAACTTGATTTCAAACTTTTTTTTACATCTTTAT